CCAAAAGGCTTCTTCCATAGGCGAATTGGATTTTCTTGAGGCTTTTCACATTCACAAAGATTTAGAAAGTTTAGTTAATGATTTGAAGTCCAATCCAGTCCTTCCTAATGCCTTTAAAATTCTACTATCTTAATTCAATTATTTTTGCCGATAGATGGCGTTACATCCTCACACTTGGTACTACCAGAGGGTATAAAAATCCGTTCAGTGGTTGCTTTCCATTATTTGAAGTTCAGATTTTGAGCGTAATGTGCATTTGCCCCTCGCTCCCTATTTTAACTTCGCTAATATTTCTTTATGCTTGATCAGACAGCCTGGCTCAGTAAAAGTAGGCGGCCAGTGCAACTCTGATTAAAAATCTAGTTATAACCACGTGCAGTGCTGATAAGCACCACGTGTTTCTGTGATTCCTAGTTTCTTCTTTCTATGTATTTCTTTCTCCTGATGAGGAGGGACCTTTAGCTGCCCTCGAAATCGATTGAGTGTTTCATTATACCTACGCTAAATATAAGGTTGTTTTTTACGATTTTGATAGCCATGTTATATTCAAAAACTGAATTCCAAATTTGCTTTCAAATCTCTGAATGGCATAACTGCATTTTATATCTTCATACTTAAAACATTTTGCTCTCTTCCTTCCTCCCACCGATTAGAACGATACAAAAAATTACATAGATCTAGCAAATGAGCTCTTTTGTTTGGAAGATAGCAATTTCAACAATATTATTCATATGGAAGTGCTTTTATCAGATTCACTGATTGTTAGCAGGACTTAGAAGAGAAGGGCTAGCTCATAGAGCTATTCCCCCCTTGAAGCAGAAAGAAGTGAGAAGTGATGATGACACTGAGCACAAAGATGCAATTCACAGCTCGGAAATTAGCATTTTTGAACCAGCGTTTAAAATGAGCTGTGTGTGAAAGACAGCTATAATTTGGAAGAGACAATGTTACTGCTGCATGCATTTAACACTGAACCATTAAAAAATTTAACAATACTTATTCAATTTTAAAATAATAGATAAAATGCGCTACTCTTTTAACATAAAGTTCTGTTGTATTTTTTAAAATTATTATTTGCATGTTTTTATATTTAATGTACGCTTTATTTATAATCATTTCTTTATCTGCATGCTAACTGAAAGAATTTTTATACTGCTTCTAAGATAACTATAATAAAAGCTATTTAATTGTACTCAAAAACAAGGATACATTGACATACTTTTAAACACATATGACATATATATCAAAATTTCTGCTAATCTACGTTTGAATTTTTGCCTAACTGTAAATTTTACATTAGCATATTTCTCTTTTGATTCAATATAATAGATTTTAAAAATAATTTTGTTATTTATACTTACATCTATATAACAATTAAATAAATGTAAGATTGTTACCTTAATTTTGACAAAATAGCTTTACTCACAGTACCTAAAGCAGTTATTAAATTTTCCAAAAGTGTGAGTAAAGGAGGCAGGTCTTTTTATGCCAATTACTTTGATGTTTTATATTATTATATTTTATCTAGAATGCTAATCTAGGACAAAAATCGAATCAATAATTAGTTACAAAGGATACAATAAGAATAACTTTAACAAGTACATAACAAAATTAGTTTGCCAAGTACTTGTTGGTACTATTTGTAATAACGAAGAAATTATCGATTAACTGAAAGAAGTCAGATGCCTTTTGATTTCCTGCGAGGCGAGTATACCTTTTGTGGTAGTTCTTGAAAATAATGTTTTTGCTGGAGCGACTTTTTGTCTCGTTTCCCTTGACCATTAAATAATTCGGTTTTAGTTTGTGACACAATTTGATTTCTTCCGAATCTCTATTTAAAACAGTTCCATATTCTAAAACAAATCATTTATCTAAAACGTGGTTTCTTAGTAATTTGAGGCAGAGCGCGGAATGAGACCTCTAATTAAAACAAACTGCACATTTTGAAAAGAACCAAGAACTTGGTCCAGTTTAGAGCCATAGCAGAGTTTTCATTCTATATGCATTTCATCGAAACTGAGAACGCATATTTTTTCAACAGAATTCAAATATTCACCTATTTCCTTCTTTAGAGTAAGAACATGACTTTGAATTCTTGAACTACATTAAAATTTAGCAGACCAATTTTTAAATTTGCTAATACTAGGTAAAGGAATTCAAATTTTTTTCTTTTCAAAAACCATAGCTTTAAGATGACAGAGCTCTTATGACAATGCAATGTGAAATATCTTCACTAGTCCAGCTGATTTTTTCCTTCTTTTCTGGCAATGCATTAATCTGTATCTTTATAAAAATAGGCTTCAGACGTTTTTCCAAATTCTCTGATTTGTGCTCTCCCCCCCCCCGAAATTTCGATATATGAGATTTTAATTTCTAATACCAATTTCTTTATAGATGTCATCCACCTTCTTTGCCACTGAACAAACATTCTACAATTTTTCAATACTTTTAATATAATTTTCCAAGGATATTATTTTGTTCTTCAAATTATCAATGCATTCTTGTTTATCCTTAAACTTAGGGCATTCGGGGAATATCCACATTTTCATTTGTGAGTTTTATTTCAAAATCATTAACATTTGATTTATTATTGCCATCATAATTTACTTTCGACATAACATTTCATTTTAACAGTTTCTTTTTGTGGCTATCCGAATAAGCGATTTTTCATTAGCATCTTCATAAAGACCGCATAGAAAATGTTTGCTGCAGATTTTTCCGCTCTTCACGCTAATAGAATCTTGTCTTTGACATTTGTGTATCCATTCTTTCGTCAAAAGCAAATTCCTTTGGTCCCACGAAATAAAATATCTCATCCTTTCATACTTCTGTAAGTGCTGTGACACTTTACTACAGCACAAAAAGCCTAATTACACAAACGATACTTTGCAATATAGAATTTAAAATAAAAACTGACTAAAATTATATATATATATGTAGTATCTGTAAGTGTGACACAACCACCAGAGGGCCTCACCGATGCGCCAGCAGCGAGGTGAAAGAGGAGTATGACAGAGACTTTCTTCTGCTATCCCACGCGAAGGTGGCGAGATGTCTGTCTACACGTGAAGGTGTAGAATAAGGAACTGTAGCTTTCCACGCGAAGGTGGTAAATTGACTGTTTAATACATCAGCAAGTGCGAGTAGGCACTAATCGGTTATGTGATAAGACTGGTAAAACTATACAGAATCCTGTTTGTATCAAACGGCACTTGTATTTAATCTAATTTGTACCTTTTCTGATTATCTTTATTAAATGTTCTGTGGTGTGGAAAACAACGTTGGAATTGTTATTTAGCATCTTCAACTTCCCCACTACATATATATATCTATATATAATAAATTATTTTAAATATTTACATTATTAGAAAACAAATATATACGATTAAAATTAATTTGGGATATGTCATCTCTAGAAAATAGTCTTGCAGCTGAATGAAACTAGTTTTAAACATGGGAAAACAGAACAGGTGTATCACAGTGACGTCAGATTACTGCCAGATAAGTCCCCCCATTAGGCTTGCATCGGCGAGGAGTCGAACAAAGGAATGAACTAGCCCTTTCTATTTATCACTTGATTGTTAGTAGAAAGGTAAAGTTACAAAACTTGCAATTTGTAAATGATATTTAGAATTTCTTACTATTAAACTACCATTGCAGATTAAATGTATACTTATTGACACAATTATACTGTTAATATAATTTGAGGAAGAAAGCTGTTGAATAATAATGTTTGACAGTCATATTTATAATTAAATCTACAATTTTCAGTATATTGAGAAATATCTTAGCAGTAGCAGCTTCTGAATGTAAATTACTGAGAAATTAATTATATTTTACAGCTAAATTGGAAAACTTATAGCCTATTTCCCTATATGAAAATTGAAATTGCACAATTCATTTAATTTGCAAAGGACACAGTTACAGTGAATATAATAAATAAATAATAGTGGTGGATAAACTACAGATAACTGATGCATTATTTCTTTATAAGAAACCTACAAAAAGTTGCCAAACTTGGTGACATTATGGTCCAGTCCCTCTATCTCCATAATAGGTATTGTAAATGAATAAAATTTAATTGGTCACTATATTAGCTATAACTATATCTAGACCTTTTTTGCCTCCCAGTAATTTTGAGGTAGAAAGTACTAGAAATATCTCAGCCAGCCAGGTGAAAATTACATCCTTATGTAGTTATGTCCGGAGAGAGCATCTGCCCCCAGCTGTTGTTAACTCAGTGTGAGAAAGTATTGAAATATCTCCAATTTAGCTACGTTCTTTAGATGTGCTTTGCATTGTGTTTAACGTTCTTAGTAGTTTGAAGTGTAACTACTGACTGTACTCTGTGGTAATCTGAAGAGTTGTATGACTATTTTTGTGGAAATTTCCAGAACTATGAAGTGTTTCATTTGATAAAACATTATCAGTCTATCATGGGAACTGTGCGCATTCAAACTTTACAAACCCACTTGCCCAGAATAATATCTTCATTTCTAGTTCTCTGTAACTCGAACTTCACTTATTCTTAAATTTGTCTCTGCTACTCCTTACACATTATCAATAATTAGAGAAAGTGAATGTGCAGCCAAAATTGTACAGTGAACGTCAGTTTGTGTTTGCTTTGTCATGATGGGTTCATTCTTGTAATTAGGCTGGCGTAAAGTTCAATAGTTAGAAGGGAAAGGTTAGGTGTGACTTTTGCAGGTAGCTCTAGCATAAGCTTGTCTTACTAACAGTAAGTATAGAATAATCAATACTTGAAAAAAATCCACATGACAATTTATAGGAGTTCATTCTCTAAATTCACTCAGAAAGTGGAAAATTCTGTAAATATTAAAAATTTTCAGAAATGGGTGCTAAAAAAGTTGAGAAAAATATGCGCAGAAATATAATATTTGAAGTAATTTTTGACAATGTAATATGCCTATCGATGAAAATATAAGGAGATATAGATAAGTTAACCACAAGATTCTAAAAAAAAGAAGCAGAACTCAGAATAATAAAACTATACTTGTTTAATGAAATACAGGTTCAGAACACAACATTTCTACATAAATTTTATTATTTCCTGTTTCTACATTAATGAACATCAAGGCAAAGACAAATCTAGAATATTTCGAAAGAAAAAAAAAAATATTTAATTCCCTTTCAAATGTGAGAAAATATGGCAAAGGGCTTCAGGTAAAAATCCATTCGCAAAAACACAAACTTCTTATTTAAATACCCTATGATACTGTCTGTTTTAATGAAACTGATAAAAACTCAAAAACAATCAGCCTTTACATAATATACATGGCCGGAATCCTCTGCAGAGAGGTACAGTTTTTCACGAAAAGTTAAATCTTTTTAAATTCTATCAGCTTCCAAAGTATAATATATCTTGTAATTTTTTTACACAATGATGTTCATGATATTCATATCAGTTATACAATCATGAAATAAAAAATATACAAACAGAAAACAAATGGCCATTGATGAACAAATTATTACATATGAAAAAATTTACACAATGATGAACAACCTCAAACGTAAGCACACTACTACAGCAAAAATTTCACAATACATAAAAGAAAAAGGGTTACTTTTAATACTTTATTTTAGAATATAGATGAAAACTTTTTTATCTTTTGACCCCGGATCATGGTTACATTAAAGCTCATGAATAAAATATCCTTGCTTTACATAAAATTATTCAAAAGATAATGCTAAATAAAACTGTTTTACTAAAAACTGATTTCTAACCTGTATATGCATTAATAGAATTAATTAAAATAGAAACAAATACAATTAAGACTGCATTTATATGGATAAAATTTACTAGGTACATGAAAAGGCAAAGATGTCATTTTGCAACTAAATTAAGTTCTGCTACCAAGACTGACATATTAACATGAAAAGACAAAAGCAGATACACATCCTAAAGTAAGTCTGTGCAAATAACCCTTATTTTCTTTCATACAAACAGATATGCTTTACAAAAATGAAGGAATCGGTGAGATAAAACACAAAGCATTAAGAGCTTTAAAAGAAAAATTTCACAAATTAAAGTTATCGGAAGCGGTAGGGGAGGAGTTGAATGTACATCAGAATATACTACTTCTTTTTGACAGGCCCACGGGGAGGTGTGACTGGTCGTCCCGAATTGAGCCCTCCATACTGGTATTTGGCCTTTTTCTCAGAGGGCTTCAAAATCTGCAATAAAGAAAATGTTAAACAATTTATATTAAAAAGTATAAAACATATAGAATAAAAAATTATACACAGCTGCATATACACACAAATACATCAATGTCAACTTCTCATTTTACTGTTTTCCGTACTCAGCAGTTCATTGTTGAAAGAATTACCAGAATTCATGTATTCATTTTTTAATAAATTGAGTTCCGCGTATTTTCAGTTAGAATAACTAATTCAAAATGAAAATACTCAGGAAATATCTTTAGGAGTATGAAAGAAATCGCCCAAAACTTATCCACTATCACATTAATTCAATGGTTATTTTTCTGTTATCGGGACCGGATTTAGAAATGTATATATGTATGCATGTATATACATATATACATATGTGTACACACATATACATATATGCACATACAAACATATACACATTTTTTAATCCAGCCCCAATAATAGAAGAGTAGCATTCAATGTTTTGCAGGGGTGAAGCTGTCTTGCGTATTTTAAGTACACGATGAAAAACAGTTGACAAAAAAGTTCATAAGCATTTATTTTTTCTCTCCAAAATATATGGACAGCATTTTTTTAATAGTACCAAGTGAGTTTCCTATGCAATTATCCAATTATCTTTGTTTACATTTGACTCTCACCACCAATGGGTTTTGCATGTCCCAATAAATATTCAAAAATTCTGATGGAACAATGTTAGCTTACATTTATATTATGATTTGTCTCACTGATAGTTGTAAATGCATGCTTCAATTTGCTGACATGACAGACAGAATGGGTGGAACAGCAGAAATTGATCATTTGTTGTAGAGTCATAGCCCTGCACAGAGCTGTTCAGTCCCCCCCAATTCTGAGGGAGAATACTCTGGGAGTGTCCAAACTCTTCCAACACTCTTTCACCACACAAAACCTCTCGAGATGGCATTCGGCTCACGGTGTGCTTAGAATTGCCTTTGCCACACAGATACTAAATTTTTTAACAAATGCCATATGTCTCAGTGGTAAATGTAACACTTCTTTCTATAAGCATCTTAAGATTTTTCCTAATAAATCAGAAAAAAATATTAGTTTATCATCAATGGCGCAATACATATGTCTCATTAAAAAAGAATCCACAGACACACATTTGTCCTACTACCCCTAAGAAAGTGCCCTTTATTAAAACAAACAGAATGTTAAAGTAGTCATGAGAAAATACTGATAATGAAGGGATTAAACAAAATTATTCATAACATTCTTGATTTTCCTGTTCTTTTCGAAAATATGTTTTTATATTGCGTTGAACATTTACTAGTAGTTGCTTATAGTCATTAAATCATTTCTTATAAATTTGTTCAGCAGTGTATATTCATACCAACACGGAAGCATTTAATAATACTATTAAAAATCACATATATATCAACATATGTTGCCATGTAACATTTTGCTAGAAACTTTTAGCCAAAACATAAAAACCTGTATATAAGCTAAATTTAAAAATGCCTTATAAGTATATATAAAGAGAAGTTTGAATAACTGGTCATCTAATTTAGATTTCATGAGCCAGGGTTCGTACACATTTCCGCACACGGAAATTAAGTACTTTTAAGGACCATTAATGAAAAAAATTAAAGACCTATGAGCAAATGGGAACTAAATAAATTCAATTAAAAATATTATTCTATGCCTGAATTTCACTTTTGTAATACCATCCTAAAAATAAAATAGATCCCTAAGTAGTACGCATTATTACTAAACATGAATTAATGAACATAATTATTAATAAGTTTGAGAATAAAATAAACTCCATGCAGTTTACCAACTAGCATTAAATATTTGACACTTAGAATGGGTTGGACATATTTGAAAGAAGATATGTGACATTTACGTTTCACTAATAATTTAGCTATATGTTGATTTTTTTTATGTCTTATTTTGTCACATACTTGGTCAGTCTAGAGCAAAGGTTCTCAACCGGTGATACGCAAGAAAAAAATAGGTGGAAAATAGGAAACAAGCAAAGTATTTTGAACTATTTATTTCAAAAATTAAAACCCCCAAATTCTGATTGAGTTTTTTTCTCTAATACTCATAAATTTATGCAACCTGAGCTTTGTTCAAGAGTAATGGTGGTAGCAGTACTTTGTAGTGGTGGTACTAAAGTTTTTCAATTTTTATTTACATGGTACACGTTAGTCAAAAGATTGAATTCTTTTGACTAACGTGTACCATGTAACGTGAGAACTACTAGTCTAGAGGTTTAGTAAATAGCAGGTACATTTTATGTCAAATGGCATAGGTTAAAATGAGAAGCAAGATCATAATCAGCATCATTCATAACAAAAGATTGAATGTTATCACTGCTGCTGCTTCTCTAGAGAGAGACCTGCTAATTAAAACAAACCTGAAATGCCTGATACAAGAACGGTTGGCAAGTGCTGAAAGTTAGCCAGGCTCTGTTTGATGCAGTTAGTGTCATAGCTTTGTGTAGAATTCCAGGGGTTGTAACCCAGTTAATATACTTTCAGGTTCCAAAAAGCCACTAAAGCACCAGAGCTGATAAGTTGTTTTACTTTAAGACTCACTAGATAAAAAGAAAAAGTTTTACTTGAATTTCTACATTTTTGTGTTTTATCTTGTGCAGTGAGTATTAATGAAAGGCAATAACTCGCTTTGATATGTAGAGGTGTAAGCAGTTAGTTATAAATAATTAAATTAGATAAATAGGTAACCTTAGTCATTATGGATTTACATAGGCACCATTAAATTTTATTCTTTAACAGTATTTGTTAAAAAAGGCCTATTAAAATAAAAATCTAATAAAATTTCACAGTTTAAAATACATGTAATTTATGACACTGACTCTTAAAGGACATTAAAATAACTGTACATTAAAAGCTACAAAACATTTGTTTTGTAACAACAACACTCAACAAAATATTTATCCGTCATTTTAATTTGAAGCCTTCCCAAATATTTTGGTAGTTTATACCGATTTCCTTCTCTTTAAGCATCTTTTCTAACAATAATTAGAGATTTGTTTCAATATGCAAACCAATGCTCTCGCTAGTTTCTGCCTACTTTATCTCCTAACTTGTCAACCTCTCCACAATGTACATATGAGGGTTTACTTTATCTGGTAAAAGTTAAATAGTCCAAAACCCCCGATAGACGTGAAGCAAATTATCACTATGTCTGAAAGTAATTACAATATCAGACAAAAGTTTAAATACACCTCTTATTTAAAAAGAACTTGGAACAAACATAAAGTCATGTTCTGATGCTAATAATAGAAGAGTAGCATTCAATGTTTTGCAGGGGTGAAGCTGTCTTGCGTATTTTAAGTACACAGTGAAAAACAGTTGACAAAAAAAGTTCATAAGCATTTATTTTTTCTCTCCAAAATATATGGACAGTAATTTTTAATAGTACCAAGTGAGTTTCCTATGCAATTATCCAATTATCTTTGTTTACATTTGACTCTCACCACCAATGGGTTTTGCATGTCCCAATAAATATTCAAAAATTCTGATGGAACAATGTTAGCTTACATTTATATTATGATTTGTCTCACTGATAGTTGTAAATGCATGCTTTGATATGTAGTCAATTACTTCTCACGGTCACGTAATTAAACAAGAATAGTCAGATTCAAACTAAAAATGTGGACTAGTGGTCAAAGATTATACAACTTAATTTTAATTTAATCTGACTCAGTAACTCTATCAATAAGGAAACAGAAATGGAAAATTATAGTAAAGGCTGAAATCATAAACAATTGGGTAATTTACATAATAATAACTGCACATATCTTTGAAGAATAATTTTCTTTATGTATTCAGTTTCTTTCTTCAGCATGTTTCCTTTTCATTTTAGAATTTTTGGATTTAATTAAGGATATTCGTTTTTCTAAAAAAAAAAAAAAAAAAAAAAAACTAAATGCATTTAGAATGTATAGAAAAAGTGATTAATTTAATTTCTTTAGCAATATGGATTTCAGAAGAAATATGAAATATATATTGTAAAGGCCAGTTACACAGCTGCTGAGGCAGAATTTTTAGAATTTAGTGACACACTGAAGAACAAAATCTAGAAATGGCAAAACTTTTAGAATTTAGACAGGCATTGGAAGCAGAATTTAGAAAGGCACTATGCAGTCGAATTTAGGATCCACAGAGAATGCATCAGATGGAAAAATGCCTTGTGCCAGCTCTGTGTATGATGCATTAAGACATAATATTAGATGGATCTTTTAAATTGTAAGTTTTCAATTTCTTTATTAATAAAAAAAAAAACCCTTTCTATACTGCCTGCTGAAGTGATAAGATTAGAAGCATTTTTGATATTTTCCATGCTTGTGTCTAGTGAAAAGTAGATAAAATACAGGGAAGATTATCATGTTAAGAAAAAGATTCTAGTATCAGGAGTGAAACATTCAAATATTACGTCTTCATTATTCTTCCAAACGTTCTTCAAAAAGCAAGAAATTCATCACAAACTTTCTGTAAAATATATCCATTGCGCATTGATACTATGGAGACATTTTTCATTTTGTCACATATTTATCGAATCTTCTAGAATCTTGAGTCTATAAATCTTGCCTTCAAATCTTTCTAAATTTTCCAAGCTTCAATGTCAAAAATACTACAGAAAAATTATCCCAACCAATACTGTAACAGCAAAAAGCCAGAAATATTTCAGGGGGGGTGTAAAATTAATTTTATAGAGAAAACTGATTCACATTTTGAGAATTTTGAATATTCTGAGACAATTACATGAAAAATACGCTTACTATGAAAAAATTAAAAACAAGACATTTTTAATTAATTATATAGCTAATTTTGCATTTGCTTTTGCTTTATAGTATTATACCTTGTTTATTTTTCAGATTCAATATATTGTACAATAAGTTGCCAAAATGAAACTTTATAATATGACAGCGAAAAATAAAAATGTTTTATTTTAATGTTATTTTTTAAATATAATTACAATATATTATCATTATTTTAATGAAATTTATCAAAGATCATCGAAAAAATCATCGAAAAATTCTCAGATTTCGGAATTAAAAATTTTCTGTAGAAACTAATCACCCAAATGTTGACAAATCATCAAATTTAGAACTGTTTAATAAAAGAATTCACATCCCCAAAAGTGAAAATTGTTTAAGAGCTCTTTATTACAAAAAATTAATTTTGAAATGCTTATGTTTCACTTCTTGCTTAGAAACTCGAGTATCCCATCATTTATATTAGAAATAGAAACAAATTAATACCCAAGAGCCCATTCAAAAGATAACCATATATGTCAGTGAATAGCCAAAAATATTCCTCCAAAATGCTAATTCACACTCAAAATGGCAGTCGTAAAAACAGGCAGAAATTTCAGATGATTAAAATTACGGACCTTCTACTGATTTTGGCCAAATTCAAGGACCAAAAATCGATTCCAAAAAATTTAAGGACCGTACGAACCCTGTGAGCTGAAAACGTGTGCCAAATTGACATCAACTCCAAAAATAAGTCAGAAATGGTCATCGAGTTACTATAAAAATGGTGCATTAGCTATGCTATGGAAGGAATAGTCAGTAGTAGATTCTTCTATGAGACATATGATGATATTAATCATGAAACAGAGAACAATGCCATTCATCTGCATTTCTCTGTAACTGAGAGATTTTCAAAAATTGCTAAGAAATTCTGAATTGGATATTAATGTTAAATTAATGTATATTAATTATTAATTATAATAATATTATTATAATTAATAATTAATTAATTAATATACATTAATATTAATGTGATTATTAAAAAAACACAAAAGTATATTTTTCATTTAACTTCAACTATCTCATTTATTAATACAGTTGTTCATTTTAATTATCAAAGTATTTTGAATTTGTAGATTTAGTACAATTTTGAAACTTTAGTAACAGTCCTTGGGCTTATGCATGGATATTTTATATTTTTCAAATTAATTTTAACCCAAGGTGTGTTTTTTTCTTGGGGGGGGAAGGGGGCTCATTTCAAAAGTTCATTAGGCATGTTGTTGTGTATTGAAGCTACCGAATATATCTATATGTAATCTTATAGTTACAAAACTCACCTGAAAAGAGCACATTAGTGTCTCATCAACAGACATCATACCACCGGCATTGTCAAATTCTCCACAATAATTGGGTGCAGAAAACAGTGTAACCAACTGTCGTTTTGCAAAGAATTCATAACCATCCTCCACTACCTGAAGAGCATTAAATATATAAATGTTACAATCATTAAAAGATAATAAAAAAGAACTGAGAAGGAATACAAAATAGTCCTCCTAACTATGAGGGGAGATACAACTAAATGTCATGTGATATATATTGATAGATTTGTTTCTATTTATTTATTATTATATGGTAATTAAAAAGAGAAATATATATGTAATATAAAATAACCAAGGGTACACTGTGATTCAGTTTGCAGGTTATCCACGCATGGCACTGCTAACGCACTCAACGCAGGTGTGTATAATAAGCAAATATGCCACATCTGAACATGTACTAAAAACTGCAGAATTATCTCTTTATGTTTAGTTTCAATGATTACCTTGTACAATTCGTTCTGCATGTGCATAGTCAAAGACATCATTTCAGTTAACCACTGGGACTTTTTTTTTTTTTTTTGTTCGGTGCATATTTTTTTTTATAATTATTAAAAAAATTCTTTTGAAATTGTCAAACAAATTATTCGCTATACTGCTTTGGGAGGAGGCAATATTAAAACAATAATTGAAAATACATAAAAAAGTTACTTTTCATAATATTTTTGCATAATTATTTTTCATGAAAAAGTATTGAATGTCTTCTCCCGGTCGGAACTGTACTGTCTTAAGACAAGAATGTCGCTAATATAGACCTTACAAAGTGTATAAAACTATGTATATGAAAAGTACTTTTACTCTATTTTGAAATTTACATATTTACTGATTTATTCACTTATAATTTTATTAAACACAAACATTTTATTATAATATGATAGAAATAGTTGGTTTATACATAAATACAAATAAGGAAATCAAAATCATTTGGAACTACAAAAAATTAAAAATGTTTATATTTTAATTTTTCAAAATTCAACAAAGGTTAAATTTGTAATTTATAAAATCTCATCAAAATTCTAATATATATGGTTACTTTGGTAGATTACGGCAAGGCTCCCTATGACTAAGACTAGGCTGCCTTCATGGGAGGATTTTTTTACGAGATACTGGCTCATATATATGTTGCACATGGGAAAAAAACCCGAAAATGCCCAAGCAGCCAGCCTGGAATCGAACCCTATGAAAGTATCCTTTATTACCAGGTCGAACTACCAGTGTTCAATGATTTTACCACTCGGTCGCTGGTGGGCTATTATATACATATATACAGGGTTCGTAGCCACATTTTAGTTAAAAAAATAAGCACCTATAAGCACATTTTAAGGAAAAAATAAGCACCTGTCTAATTACATTATATACAACTGCATAACCTTAAAAGAAAAATTAGACTTGTAATTTAAAATATGAGCAATGCAATATTTATTAAAAGAAAGAGCATTGAAATTTCAGTTCAAAATAGAGAAAATAAATAATAATAAAGGCATATTATTGTATTCATGCTTGGAACCTAATAATAAATACAATTTATTTTTCCACTCATATTAATATTTAAATAATTTAAATCTAAAATTCTGAATATTTTCTAAATTTTCATTGTATATCAGTTTTTTCCCTTAACAGATATTGCAAGCAAAGTAATTTAAGTAAAAAAGAGGAACATTTCTGAAATCAGAAGACAGAAATTTGCTTCATGCAGTCATCCTTTAACAGTAAAAGCTTAACTAAGCCGCATACTTGGAAACTGGCGAATATTCGGAGTTGAGCGTAACTTGAAAAAGAGGAGCGGAGGGGGAGGGGGGGTTGACTGTAGCCGTTTTTAGATTTTTCCGCTAAATAAATGCTTTTGACATTTTGATATGTGAATCATATAAAAATAAACCAATGGAACTGAAAAATATTCTGCTTAGCAAGCACAGTAAAACTCTTTTAAGTGTTCATAAAACAAATCTCAAACAGAACATCAAAATTAATAATTATCTCTGCGAAATATCGCAAACGTTATTGCACAATACGTGCGGTGCCATAAATCTTCCCTACGTGATATTACGCAATCGGAATCAACAGCTGCTGAAATTGGGAGAATAAAAACTAAATAAAGGAAAAGAAAGAGACTTACTAACTGGGGTGTTTTCATTCTAATTTTCAACAGACGGCGTTAAATTTCCGCAATAGAATCATTCTTCGCTTGGGTTGGGTAGACCACAAAAAGTCCTATTCAATCCAGATTGGAAAGTGACAAAAAAAAAAAAAAAAGTCCGCTTGCTGTTTTGCAGCAATATTTAGAGATTTTTGCGGAGAAAGGGGAGAACCTCCCAATCTTCGCACTATAATGTATTGGCCAAAAAAAAAAAAAAAAAAAAATTATTTTGACTATTCGATTACTTTCCCTTTATTTAAGCCATTCCGAGTATTATTCCTTGTAAACGCGCTGTGTTAAAATACAACCATTTTTGGAAGTTTATCTATTCTTCAGCAGTTACTGCAACTATGTTATTATAAACATTCATACATATACTCATAATATAAGCATAATGATCATAATAAACACAAATATGAACTGACCAAGCGGAACGAGAATGCAAATTATTAAGATCTGGATAGAAATTTAAACGTGTATAGTATTTGGGTGGGATGAAAAGAATGCCGAATGTACCGAAATTTTCTACAGCTTTCGCAATTCTTTGACCAATATAACGACGGGCACCTGTCTGTACTTCTTGCGCACCAAAGGTTATGTTAATGCAGAGAAGGGGGGGGAAAAGCTATTTCCGGGAGTATGATTCACCACCTGACATTCAATATTAAGAAAATGGGGGGGGGGGGGGGGGGTAGGGGGAATGAATCGCGTTCATTAAAAAAAAGCACTAAAAGCAAAAAATAAGCACTGAAAACAAAAATAAGGGCTTTAAAGAAAAAGTAAGCACCTATAAGGGCCTTTATATTTTATTTTTAAATATAAGGACTTATAAGCACTTATAAGGATCGCTACGAACCCTGTATATAGTTGCTGCTGCTATCAGCGCATAACTGGATTAGGTGTTTTGATTCTCCTAATTTTAATCTGACTACATAATAAACAGAATGCATGTTAAAAAATCTAAATCAATGAGAGAATTTACACTCTAAAATTATAAAAACAATTTTTTTTTACTACATTTACTATCGAAAGACTACATTTACAATTACTCAAGATTTCGGGTAAAAATTCATTTCAGACATAAAAACCAAATCAATATAGTTCATATGTCTTACCCATAAAAGTAAAACAACAGATTACGAAAGGCAATTAACCAATCATTTTGGTAGTACAAGCGGCATTAAAAAGTCATTCATGTCCCAACAAATTGCTCCCCACACCGTCACATCTTGTGTAATTGCTATATGCCGCTTGACAACAAATGCCAGATCGGACCACTGGACTGGCCACCTCCACACGCATGTATATTGGTCATCAGCACTGAGACTAAATCGGGATTCATTGTTGAAGACTACATGCCTCCAGTCTGTCACACTCCAGCTTGCCTGTGTTCGGCAAAAATCCAGTTAACGCTGCCTATGATGTGGGTCAGTGGTAGGTGTTTTAAATGGATGTCGACAGCATATACCAGTAGTCTCTAAATGGTATTCCTTGATACAGCTGGATGCCTGGAAAGTGGTAAGTGACATCGAATGGATGCTAAGGATGTTGATGGTGCAAAAGTGACCGCTTTTATGATTTCTTTGATCACTGTGCTCATTTGTGTTCCTGGAATGCTCTGATCCTCTGCGATCCCTTCCGTGATCCACTGTCGCCAACACCGAGCAACTACCATGTTGGTCCAACCAAGGTGAGGGCCAATACACCTGTTCGACCAACCTGCTTTTCTGAGGCCTACTATATGCCTCTTTCTCAAATTCTGATTACTGTTCATAGTGCCTCGGGTTACATCTCAGAGGCATCTCTAGTCACATAACTGCCTATCCAAATCGACAGATTTATTTGAACAACCGTAGAGCACGAGTAATCATGCTTTTAAACTCTACCATTGCACATCTCATATGCGCACAGCTTGTTTACCTTCATCTCATTGGCGTTGAAATTTAAATTATTTGCCTACCTCGTATCAGACTACATTCTTTTTGCGTTTCGTGATTGTAGCTCAATTTCTGGGTGCATATATTTTTTTATGACAGAGTGTACTTTAGATGAAGGCTCTTAAAATATGGACATTCTGTTAATATGTGATGCATGAATAGCTGAGCTTGACAGTTTTAACATGCTTCACTCTCCAGTTTTAGTTAGTAATTATAAATAACATGGTTTAACTGTGACCGATTTAAGAAATTTGGGCAATTATTACTCATGAAATAATTTCTACATCTCCATGGCTCATGCATATGTTTTCCAAATTCTGCCATTGCATTTATCCTTGAGGTGAAAAGCTGCCATTACCTTTAGTTACTCATTTGACTAAAATATTTGATTTCCATGTTTGAAAGGTTTAACTGAGACAATAGAATGGTTGCAAGATTGAAACTATGCCTCCAAAAATCACATCGATATTTATTCGTTCTTACTCAGGAGAGTCCTTTTATTTTTTCCCTAATTTATAAAACATAAGGGTGATTTAAAATATCTGGTAAAAATGTAAAGCAGGCAGAATGGATTGAAATAAGCAAATTTTGTTGCGGAATTATGTATGGAAATAGTGTGTTGAGGTGGTACAAAATGATGTTGGGCAGTTAAGTGAAGCATTTTGCTGGATAAATCATTTCCCATGAGAATTTTGAGCAGTATGCATGAAAGAATGGCTTGCAAACTTGCATTTTACGTCTGGGGCTGCAGCTCAAAGAAACACAAAAAATTTCCTTGAGTACCTCCTTTGGGCAACTGCTCTCTCCATCCACGGTCACACAGATAAAAAGTAATCAGCAAGCTCCATGTTTATGTAGCGATGCAGACCACCTGAAATTTGCTTACTCATGTTTTTTCTTTTTTATGAAAAAAAAAAAAAAAAAATTTGCTACCAACTTTATTAGCTTCTGTTATGCTTCAGAATACTCAGACACACATTTTCGTGCTTTTAGTGTGGATCAATACTATCAGTTTATCTGAAATCTTAAAACTCAAATGCATTTGAATAACATTAACGGACTTAAAATTTTTACTATACTAGCTCTTTTCCCACGTAAGTATTGAGGGATTTTAAACTGACACAGATTTTGAAAAAACAACTATAGCCTCAAAAAAAAAAAAAAAAAAAAAAAGGGGGGGGGTCAAGGAAAATGCTTTGATTTGCTCAAAAGCAATTCTGTGCAGCTTTAATCTGCGATTTCTGCTTAGACAGATTTCATTACAAAATCAGCTTACTTCTGCCTGTTCCTTACATTTCTGCCAGATAATTTTGAATTACTGTATATAAGAGACAATTTTAACAGGAAATTACAAAAATTGTAAAATGGTAAAAGCAGCAATAAAACGGTTTTAAAAATCACCTGGTGAGCTCTGCATATCAGATCTAAATCATGACGATTAAGAAACTTGCTAACTACATCTGCACCAAAAGTAAATGACACACCACGATCATTTTCTCCCCAACCTTGAACATCTTTGTCAGGATCAGACCACAGCAAATCACAAAGCAACCCTATGAATTACATACAAAAAGGTCAGCAAAAATATACCATAAAATTATCAAATATTTGATAACCGTAACAGTAAAACTTACACACCTGTATCAGGAACATCCGTAGGTCTCATAATTCGCCTAATTTGTTCCATAGATTGCAAATCTGGCGACAGGCCTAAAATACCAAATTAAAATATGTATTATTTAAATCTCATAAAAATTTAGTGAATTTAAAAAGTTTTCCGTAATTTATAAATATTTCACTTGAAACTAATGACAAATAAAGTAATTCCTACAGATTACAGAAACATATTCAAATTACTGAATATACAGATTTTTTATACAATTTTACTTTAACTGTAGAAAAAGCAAACAATGATTTAGACTTTGTTTCCCTTATTCTAATAAATAAACACATTTCCAGGATTCCAATAAAGAAAATCTACACATTTGCGATATCTTAATATTAAAAACACTCAAGAAATTTCTCTTTCACCTTTCCACATATTTCCGAATATAAGCCGATTCACGTCACAGTATTTTTTTTTGGGGGGGGGAAATCTCCAAATGTTCAAAACCTGTATGTTAGCTAAAATGGGGGGGGGGCTTGTAATGTTTAAATGTGTCAAAAGCAGGGCAGAAATGTCGCCAAACAGGTGGAATATTTTTGAATCAATGTGCTGTAAAGTTAAACAAAGCATTTGAATAATGATATTTTTAACTCTGGTAACCTTACCCGAGGCTAGTACATTTCCCCATTCATTTGTTGTCTTGTATACAATTTGTGATATCTCTGCTAATCTTATTTTCTGCACAATTTTTTGTCTGAAAAATGAGCACGAAGAAAAAATCTTACAAAGCATACAGGTGATTTCATTTGCTAAATTCTGACAGTATAACTAACTTGCTTGGCATTTTTCCGCAAATCAAAAACAAATATGAGAATGAAGAAAAAATTACTCAAATTAGCAATGATGAAAAAATAAAAAAAAAGACAGCATGTGATTATCGGCCTACGAGAGGAAAAATCTGCAACATGGATTGAAGAAATGTGAATGAATGGTTTCATTGTAATTCACACAGCTATCTGAATCAAGGCACAAAATATGAAGTAGCCTGGCAAACCAGTGTCTTTTACCGACTTTGTAGGTTGGTTCATTTGTTTTATGAATAGGCACAATTTATACAAAAGAGCTTTCAAAAAACTCCCTTCAGAGGTAGAAAGAAAATTTAAAGCATGTGATAAAATTATGAAAAGAATATGGTTTTGAGTTGTCATATCAACTATATGGATGAAATTTGCATGCAATTTGACGTGTTGCCAAATGACACTATAGATACTGAAGGTTCTAAGACTATTTTGGGGAAGACAAAGACCCATGAAAAATGTTCTTTTACAGTAGTCTTATGAATAAAATCACAGTTTCAAAAATAACACAAATAACTTACTTAATATGAATCTTTACCAAAAACATAAAAAATAAAAAAGTACGACATTTGGTTCTTCATTGCTTGCATCCAGCTAACAGAAAAGTAACTATGCTTTTTGCAAGAAGCTGACCCCCTATTTTAGCTTTAATAACAGTTAAAAACATTCTCAGCTTATATACAGAAATAAAAATATATGCTAAATCCTATAATAATAATGCTTTTCTGCACAAAACAAAAAGAACCCATTTTTACTACATGAAATTAATGTTATACATACAACAACACAGTTCCCAAACCTCTACATATAATAAAAGAGAGTCCGTCTGTGTGTGTGTCTTTCGTTTGCGCTGCGCATAAGCTAATAGACCCACGGCTACGAAATTTGGTACATACGTGCATTTAGGCAAGAGCCAGTGCACTTTGAAGCGATTTTTTTGAAATTCGAATTAGAATTTTTTTAATTTTATGTTTTGTGACGAATCGCATCATTTTGAGACATAATAAGCTATAGGAAAGCGAGATTTTACTCGACACACTCCATTTTCACATCGTCATGAAACGTGGGCTATTTTACGAACTTAAAATAAATTTCGTGTTTCAATAAATCGATTAAATACGGATTTATTTAACAAAGGGAGCTTAACACCTTTTCAACGAGATATTTTCTAAAATAGTTTATTTTTAAAAATGTACAGTTTATTTTTCTTTGATTTTTGGACACGTTAAACTTTCATCCTTGCGACTGCTTTTACAAAAAGAATTTTGGAAAAATGATAATATTTTGTATTTTTAAAAAATTTTTTAAATGAAACTTTCGAGTATACTTCTCACATTTTTTAAAATGTGATTTTGGCAGCAATTTCCCTGTCTTATTGCTGTTGATAGATTTTTGATGAAATTGCATCATTTTGAATAGTTTCATTCTTTTAGAAATATAGGTTTGGCAACAATTTTTCATCTTATTTCTTATGTCACTGTTTTTAAGAGATTGGCATATTTCATTGTCATTTTTATATATATATAATGCATTTTTATCGATTGATTTTTTGGGGGGGGGGATAAAGTTGTTCTGTAGAGTAAAATTCTGCGCAGAATTTTATGTTTTTTGAGTTGCTTCATGTATTTTTGCTTATTTCACTGTAAGATATTGACGTTTTGTACGATTTTTTTTTCCTTCAACGGAATTTTTTAATTTTTTTTAGGATAATAATATTTCTATTAAGGATATAGCTTATTTCATTGTAATTTTTTCTCTTGAAAATATAAGATAAAATATCACTAATTATACTTTGCTTTTCAGAATTTGTTTCTTATATTCTTTTATGTTATTTATTGCTCTTTCATCACTGTTTTTAAGACACTGAAAGTTTTGAGTGATTTTTTTTTTTAGGAAACAAAGTCCTTAACCTCCTTTATTACCATATGAGTTCTAAGATTTTGCAAAAGGAAGTTGTTAATCTATTTATTAGGATAATTAAATTTGTATTAAGCGATATTGCTTATTTTATTGTAATTTTGTTATACGTAATAACTTTTTTTATGAAGTTGATCTGCAAAGTAAAATTCTATCCAGTTTTTAAATTTAATGTTTGGTGTTTCTTTAGCTATTTTTCCGGTACATTTAAAAGCCACACGAAGGCTGGCAGCGAAGCTGCTAGTTCAAAGTAAAACAACAACACTCGTGAACATAGTACCTTTTATCCAAAATTTTAAGTAAACCAAATTACAAATACACATCTGAATTTTGAAAATAAAACTTCTAGTCATGAAAAATTAGCGGGGAAAAAAAATCTGGGTTGGACACCATATAACTTCCTTGTATGGGATATAAAATTATAGATATCTTTTACTGCACTTCATTTAAACTTCTTTGCTTGAATTATTCTAACATAATTAACTGCTTTTTCAAGGCAAACTGAAAATTACATCAAAAATTGCAAATTTCGACATACCTTGGTAAATTTCTGTTGCATGGGAGTCCAAACTTCTTACCACATTAAAAGTTTATTTTATTATTTGTCTAAAATTATTATTATTATTTCAAAATTTGACTTTGTCCAAACATGAATATTTTCGTCACTTAACGCACTTTTGTGATTGGAAGTATATGGCTATGTTCAATGACCGCAAAAACAAAGGCCAGGTAAGGACTTTTAAGCCGGGCCAGAAGAATGGGTTTATACTTACACATAAATTATATATACAGAGTGTGATTCTTTGATCATGGGACAAACTTGGAGGGGTGGTTGAGCTTACTAAAACATGTATTTTTTGTATAGGAACGTAGTGTCTAAATTGACATGTTAAAGCACGAAAGGAAAAAATGACACGAGAGGAAAAATGAGTTTATTTACATAATCAACACATTTCTTGTGTGATATATTAAATTTGCTTCTTTGCAGCAATACAGTATTAACAAGAAATGTTCAAAAGTGCGACTACCAACAGTAATACGAACTACAGCTGTGACTGGCTGGCAATGTAGCGGGCGGAAGTGAGTTGGGCAAACCGCGATCCAAAGCATCAGCGGAAGAATTACTTGGATGTGAATTTTGCGATGTGATGGACTGGGCATGTTGGATCAGTCCGATGGCCACTCCGTTCACCAGATTTATCCAGCATGGATTTCTTTTTATGAGGGCATATTAAGGGCATCGTTTACCAGACGCCCTTTGATCAAATGGAGGATCTCGTTGCACCAATATCTGTTGCGGCTCCAAGTGTGCACGAGAAATGTCTAACATTTTTCAAAGTCTTCGACAAACACTTCTAAGTTGCTACTAAGCATGTGTTACTGCTGGTAGTTGCAATTTTGAACATTTCTTGTAAATACTGTATTGCTGCAAAGAAGCACATAGCGTTGATTTTGTATATAACTCATTTTTCCTGTGTCATTTTCTGCGTTCATGCCTTAACATGTCACTTTAAATCTATATTTTTATACACAAAACATATGTTTTAGTATGCTCAACCACCCCTCCAAGTTTGTCCCCTATATACATGTAGGTGTGTGTATTATACACACACTCCTCTGGCCTTTCTCTCTCTCTTTATATATATACATATATATATAGTCGTTCTGCCAATCGTAATGAAAAAGGAAGGTGCACAATAGATGGTGTAGCAGTCCCATGTACAAAATTTCAACATTCTACAGCTAGTTATTTTTTCATTACGCAAGGTACAATATGTACGTACAGACACATCGAGAAAAAGTGAATTTTGGAGAAGGGGGGGGGAATAATGAAAATGGATATTTCCATTGAAAAACGAACACTAATTTTTTTGATATTATAAGGAAGTAACATAATAAGAATTATGACACATATTAAATAAAAAAAACAATAGCATTACCTCCATGGCAACAGAATATTTTTTCATCAATTATAGCAGCAATTGGCAAGCAATTAAAACAATCTGTAAATGTTTTCCATAGCTTTATGTTGTAACGCCTCTTACCTAGAAAAATTAGTGAAGTTACTACTTATACACTTAAAAAGGGGGGAATGTATTTTTATGGTTTAAATAAATATTTTTTAAGTCATACTTCAAAATACTAGTAAAAAATAAAACACATAACTACAGTTTGATTGAAATAAAAAGTGCTCAATTTCTGATAAATATGTAGAGATTCTGCTTGGCCCAAATTATAGCTTACCTTTGCAAAGGAGAGATATTCTTAGGACAAATTTAAGAACAGCCTTTCTTTTAATTAAGACACAATAACACGCCGAAAAAATACTAATTCAGAAGTCAAACAACAAAAATCAGCGTTACACCCACAAAATTTTCACAGGACTAGTTTCGATGGTTTTACCGAACCATCATCTTCAGCTGCAATACTGCAAATGAACAAGGTAGGAAATAATGATAGATAAGATAAGAAAGCCTGAACAAGAATAAGCAAGTGGCACCATCTGTTGGCGAAACCAGAACTAAAACATAATTTCTCTAAAAGCCGAAGGCAAATTTGGATTGGAATTAGGATCGTTAACTAGAACAGAAAGATTTTTTATGAATGTGAAATGGCCTCTAGAAAATCCAGTTCTCCAATGGAAGATGTTTTTTGAATAATTTTGGCAGCAGAAAAATTGAAAGTGTGATTTTCGGACCAGCAATGTTGAGCAACAGAAGACTTCTGTGTTTCCTTTTTTCTAACATATGCCTCATGTTCTTTGACGCGAAATTTTAAGGCTCTCTTAGTTTGGCCAATGTAAATTAAACCACACTGGCAAGGAATCCTATAAATACCCCAGGAATTCATATCCGGAATGGGGTCCTTGAGTATAGAAGTTGGAATTTTATTGATGGGAGAATAAACAACCCGAAAGTTAAATTTCTGCAAAATATGTGCAACTTTATAGCTAATTGATGGAAAGAAGGGAATGACAACAGAATTTTTATAATCTCCTAAAATAAGAGTGTGGCTTTTAGTGTGTTGAGATGAGAATTTTTTAACTGCTTGATTAATAATGTTGGGTGAAAAGCCCCTGTCAATAGCTATTGCTTTTAAATAATTTAGTTCTTCATCAAGGGCTAGTTTGGAGGAGCAAACTTGAAGAGCACGGAAAACATAGGAATAAAATGAAGCTAACTTTTGTTTAGTAGTCGGATGACATGATTTAAAGTGTGGTGGAAGGCAAACCGATGAAGGTTTACGGTAAACTGTAAAAGTACTGAAGTTGGATGTCTTACAAGTGACCAGAATGTCGAGAAACGGAAGAGAATTGCAAGTCTCAAGTTCAAAAGTGAACTGAATAGCAGGATCAATAGAATTCATTGTTGAAAGAACTTTATTTAAATCATCTTTATTACCTTCCAACAGGGTAAAAGTATCGTCTACGTAGCGGAACCATGCCGGGAAGTTTAAAGTTTCAAACAATTTTGATTCATAATAATGCATGTAGATATCAGCCAGGATGGGACTGAGGGGGCTTCCCATGGCTAATCCCTCAGTTTGCTTGTAATATTTATTTTGGAAAACAAAATGTGTTTGTTTCAAACAGAGTTGAGTGAGAGAAATTAGCTCATCAATTTCGATGCAAGAGAAATGAAATTCGCGAAGTCTGGTTTCTAGACATCTTAATGCACCCTCCACTGGGACATTGGTGAATAATGATTTTACATCAAAAGAAACCATGAGTAAATTACTAGGAGAAATGTTTTTAACCTTTTTTACAAACTCTATTGAATTTTTTATGGTGTAAATGTTATTGTCTAATAGAGTGGAAAATCTAGAAACTAAATATTTAGCTAAAGGATACGAGACAGTACCTAAATTTGATACAATAGGGCGGAAAGGAATACCACTTTTATGAATTTTGGGAAGAGCACATAATCTGGCACAATTCGCAACAGATGGGATAAGCGAATGTTTTAAGTTGCTTGAAATGATTTGCGAAGATTTGATATTCCTTTAATTATTAATTAATCAAGCAATTAAAAAATTCTCATCTCAACACACTAAAAGCCACACTCTTATTTTAGGAGATTATAAAAATTCTGTTGTCATTCCCTTCTTTCCATCAATTAGCTATAAAGTTGCACATATTTTGCAGAAACTTAACTTTCGGGTTGTTTATTCTCCCATCAATAAATTCCAACTTCTATACTCAAGGACCCCATTCCGGATATGAATTCCTGGGGTATTTATAGGATTCCTTGCCAGTGTGGTTTAATTTACATTGGCCAAACTAAGAGAGCCTTAAAATTTCGCGTCAAAGAACATGAGGCATATGTTAGAAAAAAGGAAACACAGAAGTCTTCTGTTGCTCAACATTGCTGGTCCGAAAATCACACTTTCAATTTTTCTGCTGCCAAAATTATTCAAAAAACATCTTCCATTGGAGAACTGGATTTTCTAGAGGCATTTCACATTCATAAAAATCTTTCTGTTCTAGTTAACGATCCTAATTCCGATCCAAATTTGCCTTCGGCTTTTAGAGAAATTATGTTTTAGTTCTGGTTTCGCCAACAGATGGTGCCACTTGCTTATTCTTGTTCAGGCTTTCTTATCTTATCTAATCATTATTTCCTACCTTGTTCATTTGCAGTATTGCAGCTGAAGATGATGGTTCGGTAAAACCATCGAAACTAGTCCTGTGAAAATTTTGTGGGTGTAACGCTGATTTTTGTTGTTTGACTTCTGAATTAGCCTTTCTTTTATACATTAAAGATAGAAAATCTATATACATGTAAACGTGGAATTTTTCATACCTATCAAAATGCACCCAACCTACATGACTGATGATAACAGATGCATGGTTACACTGCTTCATTTGATACACTTCAGTTTATGGAAGGTTTCACAGGAACATTTTGCATTTGTAATCTAACCAATTTTGTCATAAGAAAAAATTACATATGAAAACTTTGAGCCTCATAAGCAACATACCTTGTCTATTTATTTAAAAATTCACTCTTTATTCCTCCACATTTTCCAGCTATATATATATATATATATATATATATATACATATTTTACTTGTAAACTTGAAGGGTTTTACATATATATTTGCTCTCTTATTAATCTTTCCATTATTTAAAATGTCTTGATGGCTGTAATTACTTGTAATAAAACATAGTGACTGACATTAATTTACCAGTTTTTTAAACTAATTAACAAAAATGTGCTTTGAATTACATAATGGCTCTTATATGAAAGAAAATGCTGATTTATATCTGACTGAATGGATATGAACATCAAAGCATTCATACGCTATTTATATATGATTAGATAAACCATATACAAAAATCTGAAGTAACTTGACATATACATAACAGATAAACTAATATTATGAAACTTCAAATATTTATAACATATAGCTTAATACTTCATGTATAATTGCCATATTCAATGACACAATAAAAAGTTTCATAAATTAAGCATTTCAAAATTTTATGTAAATTTTTGAATAAAATTTTAATTAAAAAGAATTTTTAATAACTTTTTTTAAATTTCACACATAAAATTTTTCTGCAGAAATGTTATACATCCAAACTACTTCTATTTTTAACACATAGGTAATTAAATTGCAAAAGTGCACTAATTTTGTTTTAAATAAACTTACATTCATCATAGAAGCCATATATTCTATTGATGCTAGCACATTCATGATTTCCACGAAGGAGAAAAAAGTTTTCAGGATATTTAATTTTATATGCTAAAAGTAAGCATATGGTTTCAAGAGATTGTTTTCCTCTGTCCACATAGTCACCTAAAAATAGATAATTTGCTTCTGGAGGAAACCCACCATATTCAAAAAGTCGCAAGAGATCTGTGTATTGTCCATGAATATCACCTTCATAAAAGATAGATAAAAAGAAAAATACAGTTATTTGAAAAAACAGAACATACAAATTTTTCAAACAAAATTAATACATCATGACAATTTAGCCCTTTGATTAACTGCACTTGATTTTACAAATGGATGAAGTTTTACGAGTAGCTACATCAGCTTGATGTAGTTTGATTGTCGTAAATACAGTAAATTCTGCCTAAACATAAGAGTTTGCTCTTAGTTGGAAAGGGAATTGATACTGAAAGAGGGTTAATCCTGGTATCATTAGGGATCTTATGTCATCAGTCGGCTTTTGCAACTTTGTTTCAAATTCGCAGAAATAAAAGGTGCAGATTTGCACTGATTTATAACCCTACAAACCAATTTTAAATTTGTTTTCATAATATATGAATTATGTGAATAACGCATACTTTGTTGTTTACTTCAAAAAATTAAATCTCTTAAAAGTAATGGAATTATATTGTTAAGTGGAACTGTTATTTTTGTAGGGGGGGAAGAGTCAACAAGTTTCCACCCCATCTCAGCAGAAACATGGCATTTACCAGTAATGCAACCTTTTATGCAAGAATTTTTTTTTTTTCTATCCAAAACCCAAACATGTATAATAATGTACATTGATTACAGCACAAAAATCAAAAAGAAATCTAATTTATTATAATATATTATTATAACTAATAAAATAACTATAATCTTTTATTATCGTATAAGTATTATACCTAATTACTAAGAATTTTTTTTAGTGTGTATTTATATTGCATAATTATAACTAATAAAATAACTATAATCTTTTATTATCGTATACGTATTATACCTAATTACTAAGAATTTTTTTAGTGTGTATTTATATTGCATATAAATTTTAGCTCAAAGATAACGATGACCACATGTGTATGTATCTATGTGCATGTGTACATGAACACATACATACATTTCTGAATCTGCTCCCTGTAACAGATAAGTACCTATGTATATATAAATGAATTAAGTTTTGACAATCCCCACCTTTTTACCAATATCCAAATAGATAAATACACAAAGTTACCCACAATGTAATCAAGCAATTAATTACAAATTATGATCAACACATTATCTTTACTTAAAAGTAGTTTTGCTTCTTAAGTCTGTGCTCTTTGAACACAGTGAAAGTAAAGAGGTTGAAAAAGGGAATAAAAATTCTCTACTACATAATCTATCTAAATAGCATAGGGATAATCTTGGGGCCATTTTGATGATGGGCACTGTGAATATCAAGTAGCACCATTTTTATTTATACATGAAAAAATTTTCGAACATCTCTTGCACAAATCAGGTATTTGCATTAATTTTTTTATAACAATTGAGCAACAATTTATCTTTATACTTATATATTAAAGAAATCGTGTTGTACTTTTTTGATACTGACTTATCTTTTTTTTTTTTTTTTTTAATTTGAATATTCTAATTTATTTTTTTCAAGTTTATGGCTTTTCCCCTTTTGTATTGAAATAAATATTTCATCATTTAATCTATATCACTGGCCACTTTTATTTCTTACATTTTTTATCATGGTTTTCCTTCTTTAATGCGAGTTATTAATATTCTTTAGTTTAAAAAAATCTTTTTATTGATTACAGTGTCATTGCATTGCTTTACATTTTGTATCTTTCAGATGCCAAAATTAGTGCAAAATTCTAGAAAGCAAGTGAATTATGCAAAACACACTGACAGTTTTTTGCCCAGAGTTAACATTCCACTCTTGAGAGAAAATGAAAGGGAATTTATGAAACCTTGTAGTTGTGAGTAATATTTAGGCTTTAAAGTCATTGGGCAATGACTATACCCAATGTCTGAGGGGCATGGCAGCAGAACTCCTGCCATACAGTAGTTAATCTGAGAGTTTTTTGAGACATTGCAACTCTGACCTATATAGTTCAGCTGCCATCTTCAGATGAAATTTAATCAGAAATTTCTGAACTTTTGTTGAAAGATGACAATGAAAGCGAATATTTAGTTTATTTTGACATGAATGAAACATATTATAATAGATATATTCATTTAAAGATTAAAGTAGGGGAAAAAAAAAGGAGAATTACATTCCTGTAAGATACTGAAACCATAAAATTCTTTCGAGAAAACATCAAAATAATCGAGGGCAATAGGTATGAAGTCTGTTTACCTTGGAAGGATAGTTATCAAATTCTTGAAGATAATACAAATAAAACAGAAAAGAGACTTTTTGACAATACACGAAGACTTCAGAAGATGGGATATTTTGCAGAATACGACAGTATTATTAAAAGCTGGCAGGAAGAAGGTATAATCAAAATAACTCAAAAGAATAGTAAAACTGGTCACTATCTATCTGAAACCCATATTCGATGCATCGCTGAAGGATGAAAAAGGGAATTGCTTGAATGCTTGCCTTGCAAAGAGGGCGAATTTAATAGAAATTCTCCAAAACTTTTGATACAATCCCGCCAACATGCAAATGGTGTTAATGCCGAGACTAAGAAAGCCTTCTTACAAATCAGCTTATCTGCTAGGGACACAGACTCTTGAATTTTCTGTGTTGGAAAAATACAAATGAAACAGAAATTGTTACCTACACACACTGTGATGTCATGTCCAGCATTTCTTTGAATCCATTCCTGCTGGCAGCAATAATTTCCCACTATTTGGATAATGTTCCACAAGATTTAAAAAGAGCGGTGCTCAGATTGAAGAAATCCTTTCATGTCAAGAATTGTATAGCTAGTTTCGAAACCAAAGAGGAAGTAGTCACATTCAGAGAGGAAACCTAAACTTTGATGTCTTCAGGAGGTTTTGATCTTAATGGGTGGATTGCTGCACCATTCAAAAACACAAGCATGACTTCCAATCAAAAGATCATTCTAATTCTGGACTGATGAAAGGATGAAATTAATTGCAATTTAACACCTTTGACTCTTTCTGAGAGTGCCCATACAAAAAGATCTTTGCTGTCAAGCTCCACAGAGAATGTTTGACCATATTGAATTTACTAGTCTAACTAATCCTAAAACTGATTCTACAAAAACCGGAAGATGCAACTTTTTTAGCATGAAAGTCTTCCGCAAGGTATAGAATTTCAGGCTTGGCTCAAAAAGGTACATTTCTTTAATTATTGTAAAATTTTTAGAAGACATGTTATTGGACCTTTTGATGAATGCTCTATCATGTTACATTATTTTAGTGATGCTAATAAGGTATTTTATGCGACATGCATTTCCTTACATGAATATTTTGAAGCCAAAACTTCTGTACATTTAGTAATATGTAAATCAAGAGTAGCGACTGCCAAAGAAGTGACTATACCTAGATTGGTACTTACGTATTAACGCAACCAGGCCAAAATTTGCATAAATCACCAAATTTGGCAACCCTACGTGTTATACATAGTTTTTCGTAAAGAAATTATTTTTCTTACTGGTTAGATTGAATGCCCTGAAATACTTTAATTACTTTTTTCATTACTGTACCTAAAAGAAGCGCCGTTACCCTCATGGAAAAAAATTTGCGAAAATATCAAGGAAGGAAGCATCATTTATTCGGATTGCTGGAAAGGATACAATACAAGTGAGTTCGAAAATGCTGGATTTCTGCATGGAACTGTTAATTACAAATATAACTTTGTGGATCCCAACACGGGCGTTCACACACAACATGTAGAGCGCATGTGGGGCTCAGCCAAATGGCACAACAAAAAAACAGAGAGGAACAGCCCGTCATCATCTTGACTCATACCTTATCGAATTTATGGCGCCAAGCTCAAGCTGTTAATGGCGAAGACGGTTTTCAGTCAGTGCTAAAAGCAATAGCCAAAAGATTTCCGCCGAAAAAATAATTCTGCAACTTATTCAAATTCGAAACCGAAAGGGTTTAATTGCTATTTTATATTTTAAAACAAAATAATATAAAAAAAACTGTATTCAAAATTATCTGTAATTAATAAATGTACATTTTCTTTCTATTCATACATTTTACTCAAACTTACAAATCGCGCCAACATGGTTGTGATAATACATAAGTACCAAATGAATAATTAGAGTTGCTTGGAGCACTTATAGTTACTCGTTTTTATTGTCAAGTCACTGAAGCTTTTCAATCAACAGTGTCAAGCATATTTTTGGAGCGATTTGTCTGTAGTTCTGACCTGGATCAAAAGAGATTTCAACTGGAGTGTTTTTGCAACAAATTGGGTTGCTGAAGTAAGGAGATGTACAAATCCAGAATACTGGCATTATGTGCCAGATTCAATCAATCCGGCTGACCTTCCCCCCCCCTTCTGAAGGGTGCTATGCCAAAATATCACTACAAAACAGATAGTGGGAAAGGCCTGACTGGTTTAAACAAGAGCCAGATAAATCGTCCATCTATGAGTCAGAAGTAGATGAAAGAACAGCTAATTAAAAAAAAAAGGAAAATGCTGTTTCTAGCATTACCTGTATGACCTCAAACTTTACGGATAGATTTACTCAATTTTCTAGCTATTATAAGAATGTGAGAGTATTAGATTGAATTTAAACTTTTTACTAGCAGTCCTCGTGGTAAAAATAGAAAATGTAAGAGTTAACTTCAGAAGAAGTAGACTTTGAAGAATAAATATATAAACCAGGTCAAAACTTTTCATAAAAATGATAGTAAAACTTTAAAAGGGATGCATATATTTAAGGATGATTATGGACTTGAGTAAAAACTAAACTAGCTTTAAATGACGAAGGCATAGACTTTTAAGTGTCCTATTTTACTGCCAGGAAAACCACATACTAGTTCATTGAATAATAGAACAGAAACATTAGCAGCTGCAACATGCAGGTACAGGAACCTTCATCTCCAACTTGCAGGAAGATAGCTGGATTGTCGATGTGAGACGTCTTGTGAAGAGAAATTGCTCAAAGTGTGTTATTTGCAAAACATTCAAAGGGTAGTTTATTCACTTGCCATTGCTCCCTACTAACGGACTGTATAAAATGTACTGGAGCTTTCGAGATCAGTGGTATTGATTCGGCTGGACCACTGTATGTATTGACTGGCGAAAAGTCATTATTGTGCAACGTACAACAAATTGACAAAATCTTCATCATCAGATTCCTTTACAGTGGCATAGCAAGAAGCAATAACTGCTCCTTTTCCTGCTCGCTTTCTAAGGATGGCATCAATTTTGAGAGTTCTTGCTGCTAAGTAACACTCACGAACCAATGCTTCTTTGGTTTAAAGACATATCCTGAAATAAAACTTTATCAAAAGAACAATTTAACTGACAATTTCCAAATGTTTAATTATATCTGTCTTGACATATGGAGCTGGAACATAGACACTGACTGAAAAGGATACAGAAAGTCTTCGAGACATTTTAAGAAACACTGTTGGAGGTATTGAAATATATAAGGTCTAGAGAAGAAATGCAGAAATTTACACGATGTATGAGCATCCAGACATCATAAATTTTATCAGCATTCAAAGTTGAAATGATACTCTCACCTAACCAGAGAGCCCGAAAATATAACTACCAAAAAATATTAATGTATAAGGACACGAAAGGGAGACCAAAACTCAGATGACTACACTGTCTTGAGACAAACATGTATAATTTAAAGGTCATTAACTTAAAGACTAAGGCCAAAAGTAAAACAGGCTGGAACAAAATTCTAAAAAAAGCCAAAGTCCATCATGGACTGCAAGCTACTGAATTAGTAATAGTAGTTGAGGAGAGTGTCCTTAAGTCTAGGTTTAAAAAATACAGTAAAAATTTTACACTGGTATTGCACAGGTGCATCGTCAACAGTTTTGTACGTATGTTAAATAATTTTAGTGAAATTATAGTATCTCTTATACAATGTAACATGAAATTCCTCAGGATGTGAAGCATCGCCACAAAATAAGGGTTACAGGGGCAAGTCTATTTAACATTGAATAAAGGGTTATCTTGCTAAACTGGCGATGATTTGAACAGCTAATTTTTGTTGCCAAATTTGGCAAAAGCTTTGTGACCATTTCAGTCTGAACACTATGTAACTGTATCCAGCCATTAACTATCTATACCGTCAAGTAATTTCAAAGGCACTGGAAACTTTTCAGCAGACAGGCATTCTTAGCAGTTTGAAATAACTACTGACTGTACTCTATCATACTGAAAAGAGCTGTCCAAGTACTTTAGCGGGAAAAATTCAGTAACAGTAGTGTTTTTAATAAATTTCATCAAGCTATCATTGATTCTGTGTGCATTCCATTCATTATAAGCACATATGCCCATTAACAGTGTTTTAAAAGAACGTTTTAAATAACTGCAGTAAAAAAAGCATCATACAATATAAGTTAGGAAATAGGAAATATCTTCTGCAGATTCAGAAACATTTAATTTTAAACAATGTTTATACAAACATTTTAGTAAAACATTTTCACTAATTTCGGCCCGATTTCTACACACAGGAAAGTAAAAATTGTCTTACAGTAGGAGTTAGCTATACACAGCGTACTTATATTTTAAAGCTTCTTTTACATATTATATATATTCTTTTAGATGAAATATACATTACCACAAATCTTTAGAGGTGCTTCAAGTTCCAGAAGTATGGGCTGGCTGAGAAATATTTCTCTGGATTTCAGACAGAGACCACGGACTTCAGCTTCAGTGAGTTGAACAGTTTTCCCAGGCCTGCAACCCCTCACTGCAATAATTAAAACACAAAGCAATTAAAGATTTCACCTTAAAACAGCCATTCTAGTTTTATAATCACAACTAAATTCAACAATACCCAAATCTTAAACTCCGCTGAAAGGTACATATTTTACCAGCAACCATTTGACTGCAAATCCACACAAATATCAGAAACGCCCTTCTACGTCCGAGTTCTCATAGCAGCTCCACATTTCGGACTCCGTTTTAAAAGTCCTACAGAAATTCCAAAAATACGCTTCGATCCTCATTAACACACCCAAAACAAAAGACTCGTTAACAACATTGTACCTTTTAATACTAAATTTACTTTTCACACAATCTAAAATATGCGAATTTTGCCACCACGTCTATGATTGCAACATAGGCCATTTCAAAACACACACGACACAAACCAACGAGCAATTAAACCACTCCAGCAAAAGATTTTTCATCATGAACAGGGTTGCCATATAACATGCTACTGCGCAAAAACCAGCACAGAATACGTATCGCCACATTTGGTGAAATTAGGGAGCATATAAAAGTACAGCCCAAAAGAGTTGCCATACAAACAGCATCGTCCCCCAAAACCGTCGCAGAACACATATCGCCACATATGGTGATTTTAGGGCGTATGTATATGAGAGAAGAGGCCTTTACAAAATCCGTTAATTGGAAAATTTCACCTTTGTTTTACTATTTTTGCACATTTGTTTTGCTAGGCAACTAACTACAAGTTATTGCGTTAATTTTAATTTTGTGTCTACAGCACACTGAGAGAATTAAGCCTGAATTGCATTAGTTTAGCTACTTATTATACTTATAGCTATTTCTTGCACATTCTTAAGGCTTATCAGAGTTCTGAATAGAGGGTTCGTACACATTTCTGCACACAAAAATTACGTACTTTTAAGAAAAAATTAAGGACCTATGAGCAAATGGAAACTGAATAAATTCAACTAAAAATATTATATCTATGCCTGAACTTCATTTTTTAATACCATCCTAAAAATAAAAGAGATCCGTGAGCAGGATGCATTATTACTAAATATATTTTAATTAACATAATTATTAATATGTTTGAGAATAAAATAAATATTATGAAATTTATCGTGTAGCATTAAATATTTTACACTTATAATAAATAACTGGACATATTTGAAAGAAGATAAGTGACGTTTTAGTTATGTTTTACTAACAATTTTTTTTTAATGTCTCCTTTTGTCACATACTTGCTCAGTCTAGAGGTTTAGTAAATATTAAGTAGATTTTATGTCAAACAGCATAGGTTAAAATGAGCATTAAAATCATAATCAGCATGATTCATAACAAAAGACTGAATGCTGTCACCACTGCTGCTTGCCTAGAGAGAGACCTGCAGATTAGAACAAACCTGAAAGGCCAGATGTAGGTACGATTGGCAAGCATTGAAAGTTAGTCAAGTTTTGTTTGATGCAATTAGTGTCATAGCTTCGTGTACAGTTTCAGGGGTTGTAAACCCAGTACTTTAAGGTTCGAATAAGCCATTAAAGCACCAGAGGTGACAAGTTGTTTTGTAAAACTTTAGATACATAGAATAAGTTTTACTTGAATTTTTACATTTTCATATTTTATCTTGTGACTACAGTGAATATTAATGAAAGGCAATAACTCGCTTTAATATGTAGAGATAATTTTTTAGGGTAAGCAGTTAGTTATAAATAATTACATTAGGTAGTTTGATAACCTTAGTCATTATGGATTTACATGACCACTATTAAATTTTATTTTTTAACAATATTTGTTAAAAAAGCCCTATTAAAATCAAAAGCTAATAAAATTTCACAGTTTAAAATATATATAATATGTGACACAGATTTTTAAATGATATTACGATAATTACACATTAAAAGCTACAAAACATTTATCTTTTGTAACAACAACACTCAACACAAAATATTTATCCGTCATTTTAATTTGAAGCCCTTCCAGACATTTTTGGCTAGTTTATATCGATTTCCTTCTCTCTAAGCATCTTTTCTAACAATTGGAGATTTGTTTCAATGTGCAAAACAATGCTCTCGCTAGTATCTGCGTGTTTATCTCCTAACTTGTCAACCTCTCCACAATGTATCTAAGAGGGTTTAATTGATCTGGTAAAAATTAAATAGTCCAAACCCCTGACATACGTGAAGCATATTATCGTTATGTATGAAATTAACTACAATATCAGACAAAGCTTTAAATAAGCCTCTTATTTAAAAAGAACTTAGAACATGAAGGCATGTTCTGATGCTAACAAAATCAATTACAGCTCACAGTGACATAATTAAAGAGGAGGAGTTAAATTCAAACTAATAATGTGGACTAGTTCTCAAACATTATATAATTTAATTTAAATTTAATCTGGTTCAATAACTCTATCATGAGGAAATAGAAATGGGGAATTATAGTAAAGGCTGAAATCATAAACAAATGGGTAATTTACATATTAATAACTGCACATATCTTTGAAGAATAATTTTCTTTATGTATTCAGTTTCTTCAACACGTTTCCTTTTCATTTTAGAATCTTTGGATTTAATTAAGATTTCTGTTATTCTAAAAAACATTAAATGCATTTAGAATGTACAGAAAAGCGGCTAATTTATTTCTTCAGTAATATGAACATTCAGAAGCAATATGAAATATATACAGTAAAGGCCAGTTACAGAGCTGATGTGGCAGAATTTCTAGAATTTAGTGACAAACTGAAGAACAAAATCTAGAAATGGCAAAACATTTAAAATTTAAAGCAGGCACTGGAAGCAAAATTTAGAAAGGCACTAGGCAGCAGAATTTAGGATCCACAGAGATTTCATCAGGTGGGAAAATGCCTAGTGCCAGCTATGTGTATGATGCATTAAGACATAATATTAGATGGATCTTTTAAATTGTAAGTTTTCAATTTCTTTATTAATAAAAAAAAAAAACCCCTTTCTATACTGCCTGCTGAAGTGATAAGATTAGAAGCATTTTTAATATTTTCCATGCTTGTGTCTAGTGAAAAGTAGAGAATATAAAGAGAAGATAAACATGTTAAGATTCTAGTATCGGAAGTAAAACATTCAAATATTATGTTTTTATTGTACTTCCAGATGCTCTCCAAAAAGTCAGACATTCATTGCAAACTTTCTGTAAAATACATTCGTTACGTGTTGCTACCATGCAGACATTTTTCATTTTGTAATATATTTCTCGAATCTTATAGAATCGTGGGTCTATAAATTTTGCCTTCAAATCCTTCTAAACATTTCAAGCTGCAATGTCTAAAATCCTAAAGAAAAATTGGTTTAATCCTAGTATCCGGTGCACACGGGATTTGGCGACTTTTATGACGAGCAGTAAAAACGGGACATATACGATGAGTAGTAAACGGGTATTCAAAGAATATATGTAGTTATAAATAGTATATACTATATATATATATACATAGTATATACTATGTATATAGTGATAGTATATAGTGTATAGTATACTATCACTATATATACATAGACGTTCTTTTGGTAATTTTTGGTGTTGGCGATAATTTTCAAAAATCACGCCAAGGCTGCATCGTATACTAGGATTTTACCTTGAAATTATATTTTTTTAAAAAACATTAACATAAAACATTTTTATTTTTTGCTGTCATATTATAAAGTTTCATTTTGGCAACTTATTATATAATATTTTGAATCTGAAAAATAAACAAGGTGTAATGCTATAAAGCACAAGCAAATGCAAAATTAGCTATATAATTAATTAAAAATGTCTTGTTTTTATTTTTTCATAGTAAGAGATTTTCCCATGTAATTTTTTCAGAATGTTCAAAATTTTCAGAATGTGCATGTTTCTCTATAAAATTAATTTTATACTTTCTCCTTTTCTTTTTTCCAAAATATTTCTGGCTTTTTGCTGTTACAGAAATGGTAGGGATAATTTTTCGGTAAAATCCTAGTATACGGTGCAGCCTTGGAGTTACTTTGAAAATTATCGCCAACACCAAAAATGACCCAAAGAACGTCTATATATATACTATACACACATAGTATATATACTATATACATAGTATATACTATGTTTAACTGTATATTTTCTTTGAATGAGCGGTTAACTACTCATCGTATATGTCCCGCTTTTACTGCTCATCATAAAGTCACCAAAAGTAGCCAAATCCTGTGTGCACCGGATACTAGGATTAAACCAATTTCAATATATTACCATTGTTTTAATGAAATTTATCAATGTTACGATGTTTAAAAAAAAGCACCGGATACTAGGATTAAACCAATTTCAATATATTACCATTGTTTTAATGAAATTTATCAATGTTACGATGTTTAAAAAAAAATTGTCGAAAAATTCTCAGATCCTGGAATTAAAACGTTTCTACAGAAACTAATCCTAAAATTGCCAAATGCTGAAAAGTCGCCAAATTTAGGACCGTTTAATAAAAGAATTCACATCCCCAAAAGTGAAAACTTGTTTAAGAGCTCTTTATTAGAAAAAATGAATTTTGAAATGCTTACGTTTCACTTCTTGCTTAGAAACTTGAGTATCCCATCATTTATATTAGAAATAAAAACAAATTATAACTGATGAACCCATTGAAAAAATAACCATATACAGTCAAAAGTCGTTAATTCGGACACCCATAATCCGGAATGATCTATAATTCAGACCTCAAAGCTACAAACTTTCTGCGCTTACGAATGCACGTTTCATATATAACGGACGGTATAAGCTAAGCTAAAATTATCTAATTCAGTAAATGTTGCAGATTGCGTTGTTCCTTAATCTTCGAATTGGATTCGGCTTATTATTTTTTGCAGACTGTTAGAGCAATTTTATAAAAGTAAGCTTGAACTTTCGATTATGTCAAAAAGAATTTCTGATATATATTTACTAATATGTAAAGGATCTACAAAGCGAAAGTATGTTTCGAAGTCCATTAAACAAAAAGTGGAATTGCTGCAAAAAATGGATAAAGGCATATCCTTTGTTTATCTAAACTTTAACATTTATTTATCTAAACTTTGTTTATCTTTAACACCGTGGCGCGTAATGAATTGGAAGTTGATCTGTCAGCACTATCCTTATCTTCTGGGCAGATGTTTTTATTTTTATTTGGCTTATAATTCCTTACTAAGTGTAGTATTTCAACTCGATGTACTCCGTCTTTGATATGATTTAAATCAAATTCCTCGTCATTATAATTCGCTTCCGACAGCGAAAAAAATAACAGAGGTTATTGAAAATGAAAAAATTTCGATTGACAAATTAGTCGGTATTCTCGACACAGCAATTATAAGACTTGAACGGAACTTTGTAACTGAACAAGAAATTATGTCTGTTTATAGAATTAAAGAGAATGTATTATCACACAAAAAACGAAGCAACTTAAACAACTTACACTGAAAGAAATGTTTAATAGAGCAAACAAATAAATATTAAGCTTTTTTTTTTTTTTTGTAAATTTTGATACCCTTTAGATCATAATTTTTCTTTATTTCATAAATTACGGTTTCATATTTTAAATTTTATAACTTCTGCATGCCATCTTACCAGATTTAAACTGATGATCTATAATCCGGAATCGCTGAAGTCCCGACGAGTCCAGATTAACGACTTTTGACTGTATATGGCAGTGAATCACCAAAAATATTCCTCCAAAATGCTAATTCACACTCAAAATGACAGTCGTAAAAACAGACAGAAATTTCAGATGATTAAAATTAAGGACCTTCTGATTTGGGCCAAAATTAAGGACCTGTGACTAAATAAATTTCCACATATACTTAAGCCTTATTGAGGGCTGGCACTAGATATCTTAAGACACAATAACATGCCGAACAAATACCAATTCAGAAGTCAAACAACAAAAATCAGTGTTATATTTACAAAATTTTAACAGGACTAGTTTCGATGGTTTTACCTAACCACCATCTTCAGCTGCAAAACCGCAAATGAACAAGATAGGAAATAATGATTAGATAAGATAAGAAAGCCTGGACAAGAATAAGCATGTGGCACCATCTGTTGGTGAAACCAGAACTAAAACATAATTTCTTTAAAGGCCGAAGGCAAATTTGGATTGGAATTAGGATTGTTAACTAGAACAGACAGATTTTTATGAATGTGAAATGCCTTTAGAAAATCCAGGGTTGATCTTTACATTATGGTAACTTGGCGTTTTTTTCGCGAAAATTTGGCGACCAACTCTCCAGCAACCCTCTATTTTTTTTTCCCGCCGCCATTTTGTCTTCACGAAGTAAAGACATGTTTTCTTTTCTTTTTATCTACTGAACACATCTTCCAACAATCTACTAGCCGAATTACACTTATGCTAGAAATTTTATCTAACAAAACTGCTTAATCATGACAAATATTCACTGCAAAATTGGGAAAAAGTGCACAATACCATACTCCTTACGCGTTTTTCAAAATAACACGTACACATAAACCATGTACACGCCGATTTATTTTTACTTAAAAAAACATCCCAGAATTGCACAAAAATGGCATTGTGCACACTCTTCACTATATTTATGTACACTGTTTTTTTCTCATAAATTAGAAAAATTTCACGAAAATACATGACAATTTTCTGAATCTTTAAACCCGGTAAAAAGAACATATATGAAATTACCTGATCGCGAAAAAGTTTATACCCTTTCCAAATATGAACATTTCCACATATAAAATAAATAAAATATCCAAAAACTTTTACCTCTAAATCATCTATTATATTATACACGTCACGAACGAATTCATACTGCAAGTATTACAAATACTTAGTATCAAATATTTAAATTATTTCCATGCACGTTTACTTCAACTTAAACGTGTACCAAATTCCTACAAACATAAAATTCACAAAATAACTATCATTTAATTAAAATATCACTAAACCATGTACACGTCGACTTATTTTTACTTAAAAAAACATCCCAGAATTGCACAAAAATGGCATTGCGCACACTTTTCATTATATCCATGTACACTGCTTTTTTCTCATAAATTAGAAAAATTTCACGAAAATGCATAACAATTTTCTGAATCTTTAAACCCGGAAAAAGAACATACAGTCAAAAGTCATTAATCCGGATTTTTTCCCGATTTCCCCCCTTTTCCGATTAAAGAACCGTAATTTGTCCATTAATATCACATGACATATCCCATGATCTCTCGTTTCCCTCACACAAAATAATGCGTAATCATAACTGAGTACTGCTCACATTATTACCAAAGTCCCAGGTAGTAACCTTTATCGCCTCCAAAATGTCGCCAAACTACCAGTTACCATATTGTAAAGATCAGCCAAATCCAGTTCTCCAATGGAAGATGTTTTTTGAATAATTTTGGCAGCAGAAAAACTGAAAGTGTGGTTTTCGGACTAACAATGTTTAGCAACAGAAGACTTCTGTGTTTCCTTTTTTCTAACATATGCCTCATGTTCCTTGACGTGAAATTTTAAGGCTCTCTTAGTTTGGCCAATGTAAATTAAACCACACTGGCAAGGAATCCTATAAATACCCCAGGAATTCATATCCGGAATAGGGTCCTTGAGTATGGAACTCGGAATTTCATTGATGGGAGAATAAACAACCCGAAAGTTAAATTTCTGCAAAATATGTGCAACGCACATATTTGCCACTGTGGCTTAATTTACATTGGCCAAACTAAGAGAGCCTCAAAATTTCGCATCAAGGAACATGAGGCACATGTTAGAAAAAAGGAAACACAGAAGTCTTCTGTTGCTCAACTTTGTTGGTCCGAAAACCACACTTTCAGTTTTTCTGCTGCCAAAATTATTAAAAAACATCTTCCATTGGAGAACTGGATTTTCTAGAGGCATTTCACATTCATAAAAATCTTTCTGTTCTAGTTAACGATCCTAATTCCAATCCAAATTTGCCTTCGGCCTTTAAAGAAATTATGTTTTAGTTCTGGTTTCACCAACAGATGGCGCCACATGCTTATTCTTGTCCAGGCTTTCTTATCTTATCTAATCATTATTTCCTATCTTGTTCATTTGCGGTTTTGCAGCTGAAGATGGTGGTTCGGTAAAACCATCGAAACTAGTCCTGTGAAAATTTTATAAATATAACGCTGATTTTTGTTGTTTGACTTCTGAACTAGATATCTTACCGCCTGGGGCAGTCTCTGTGGGTCCTCAAGTATGCGACTCCTTGCGGCCATACGAGCCCTGGAGCTGGTTCTGGGTTTATGTGCATGACAAATCAGTTATTCTTAATTGAAATAGCCCTAAATGTAATCTTTGGGTCTATGAGTATCATCAACAAAATCTATTATTACCATATGAAAAGAAAGTTCTTGGTAAATTTTTCCTTGTCAACTTTTTTAGCGCTTTATAACTTAAATCCGTTATCATCGCCAAGCATAATGTCCAACATAAAAAGTTACCATACTTCTTTATTATTCAATTACTAAACATAAAAAACATTGTTTAGGCATCGCTGCATGAAGTCATTATTCAAGTTGTCATGTTTTGATATAAACATGTGCAGTGATGAAAGAAAAGTATAATAAATAATGATTCGTCAGGTTGGCATCAGATCAACAACGTATCTATGTGGAATGTTTTGATTTGAGATGCATGCCAAAAAGCAGATATGCAGCAACGGAGCCAAATTACTGATCGTACAAATTTATGCTAAAATACTTGTTTCTTCAATAACAAGGTACTTTATTTAGTGTCGAAGTGAAATTAAGAATCAGGACTTTCCAGATGTTTTATTATGTGCGGAGGGGGGTTTAAATCTGGAGAAAAGGAGAAAAACATTGTTGGTTTTGAGGTCCGGATTTTAGATTATTCTGGATAATGGACATCCGGATTTCGGACTTTGTACTGTATATGAATATTTGGCTCAATTCCACTCAAAAAACTAAGATGTCTCAGCTGATCACATTGTTGGTAACTTCACATTATTACATATTTTAGCAATGTTTTTTCATGCGGTCAGTATAATAGAAAAGTATACTCTATGATAAATAATACAGTATATTAACATTAAAAAAAATCAAATTTAACATTAGCTAATTTTAGAGAAATGCCCAACTCATTTCCAAACAAAGTGACACCAGGGTTTCTTTTTCAAACAGAAAACATACTCTGCTTATGTTCGCATTCAGAATAACAAAACAAAATCACATTTAATTTAGTAAGCGAAACAGTAAATCCGAAAACGTAAAAATTAAAAGTTTTAAATGAAATATACATGAATCATGGAAAGGCATTAGAATTCGCTGTTAGTTCTACGCCCGAGACTTTTAACATTTCGGCAACATACAGCAGTTTTAACAGCTGCGTCACAAAGCATATCGACAGGAAAAGTGTAAACATGATAATCCGAGAAACTAACTTAGTCAGCATTTCCCTGAACAGCATCATATGAAAGTACGGAAAATTTCACGAAAGTGTACATGTAACAAATACACTAAAAGCATTGTCTTCCTTCATTTTTGTTTACTATGCAGTAAAAACATACGAAAAGATTAAACTACAAAAGGATGCTTAATATCATAATGTGGTTATCAAATGCATAAAATAAATTTCACTTAATGACATCATTTTAAGATTTTATAAAATGACATTACCTTCCAATAACCTTGAAATAATACTATCTACGTTCAACTCACTTTCCGCCATTTTCAGATGATGACGACAAGTGGACGTAAGACCATTGCCATTTTAGAAAAATGATGAGTGTAAAAGTAACCCGCTGGGTGAAATATTTTGACAGGTGTAAAAAAAAAAAATTCATGCTCAGGCTCACAAACTCGGTCTTAATTTTACAACGTTACTAAAGAAAGTCTTCCATTGAATTTCTTCTTTTTTTAATTTTATTGGTCTACCATCTAAATATTTACAGATTTGACTAGAAGGAAATCTCGTGCAGACCACAAGAAAGGGAAAAGTATAAAACTTTGCAAGCTATCTATCTATATTTTAATTTGTATTATATCAGAAGACTTCTTTAAAAATTGTAGCCTCAGGATAGACTAGGAATAAGCGATTACTTGTTTGTGTTCATTGCTCTTACATTAATATATTACAATTTAGCATGGACCTGCATACTAGTATTTAGAATTCTGCTTGTATTCTTACTAGCTCAATATTTTAAACTATAGTCTCATATTGAGCTTACGCATTGCATCTCTCCCCTCCGGTGGTCGACGTAGAGAACTCTACGAAGCTACTGGCAAAGGATCTGTACCTAGGCAGTTTTTGCCACAGGGTATAAAATTTATGAACCTATCGCTTCAGAAGGCCCCGAAAAGGTCACTTATTGGCCATCCCGTGGTTCTAGCGAGTCCTAGAGCAGGATGGCTCTAGTTGCCCGGGAGTAGCGCCCCAGTTTCGTTGGGAAATGTCCCTCTGCGACGGGGAGCCCCAGCGACTGGCCGGTAGCAAATAGATGACCAGTGTCGGCGTATTGACATTAGTACCCCTCTCTCCAAAGATCGGAGAAAGAGGTTAAACCTTTGGAACCGTTCTCAGGGGGGGTTTGTCTATGTAGAGCTAAATTTATAGCTTCTGGGCTGGATGGAGTATGTATAAAAAATATAGTTACACATTGCTTATAACTCGAAGATGTACTGAAGATTTAACGGAAAAGATGCTTGTTACGCAGAATGCAAATTCAGCTGAGTATACAAATAGCATGCGAGGCACTGTGAATGGATATTGGACACGGTAAATAAAATATCTAAGATTAACATCACATGACTTGTACAGCCTATTAAATACATACATTTTTTGCTGCACTTCATTTAAATATATTTCCTCGAATTTCATATTTCTCACTCAACCAATTCAGTTGTCACTTCACCACAAGACAAAAATATATAGAAACTCGAAGCATCTTCGCTAAAAATTGGCGAATACATAAAAACATAAAACTCCAAATATATTTGACAATTAAAAAAACAATTTCTGCAATTAAAATTAAAGTTTCTGCACGAAAATAAGTGTGGCATTTTACATCCCCCCCCTCAAATTTCTTCAACGTTGACGTCGTATCCCAATTCTCCCTTCTAACGCTCAGGCGAGCGCAGTTCACAAATATAAGGCACCCGCGCGGCAGCGCTATTCCGGGCTAACCATGTTGACGATTTTCGATCTGTAATGTGCCCGAGTATAGAAGAGGGAGAACCTTAGATTGAAAAACTCGTAGGGAAAAGCAATTATAGAGTTTCCTAAGTAGACATCACGTCGATCAGGAACAGTGTAGGAAGAGGAAAAAGTCCTCGATGAAATGTTTCAGGACTACACCAGTGGCGACGCTCAAATTAGTAAGATACAAGTAAGATGAGGCGTACTTAGAAGGAGCTGATATTACTGTCATTCAAACACTATGTATACATTTTTATTTATTAGAAGAATTTATTCTTTATAAATTAGGTTTTAATGATCATCTAAAAACGCAAACTGGTGACCCGGACGTGATCTGAACACGCTTCGGAAGTAGTTAAAGAGAAGTGTTTATGATGAGATACTGTAACCTTCTCACACTGTATGCAAGTTTTAGTGAAACTCGTGACAATTCCAGGCTAGGCAAATCCGTCACTTACCATTTTCAGCCTTGCTTTTGATCCAGGATAGGAAAGGTCATGCAGAGCTGAAAAGACAATTTTTCTTTGACTGTCTGGAACAAAAAAAGACGCATTTTACATTTGAAATGTAACTAAATAGTTCTACGGTACTCTCAGGCATTTTTATCTTCTTTAATTGCAGAAATGAATTTTCTTTGTCTAAAACGAATTAGAGTACTGTGTCATTCTGTTGTGCTTGCGACATCGAGTCATAGTTAATAGGAGGTACATTAGTAATCATTTTGATACGGGAAAGTGGATCCGTTGGTCTCTTTTCTGCACCACTCACATGCTGAATATCAGTACTGAATTGACGTATGAAATTAAGTTGATTAATTTAATTTATTAATTAACTTGTTCTGGGGAGAGCTTGTCATACTTTTGGAAAAATGCTTTTGCGAGTGGCTTATGATCTATAAACACTATAAAATTCGTATCTTCAAGCAGATATCTGAGGTATTTAATAGTTGTAAATATTGTCAAAAGCTCTCTACCATGCGTACTACATTTCTGTTCAGTATCACTCAATTTTCTCAAAAAGTATCCTAGTGGTTAACATGTTAGTACGTTAAGCTGTGGACGCAAGTGCTTATAGCTTTTACTGAGATGTCGAACATAAGAGCAATTATCGTTTTTGGTTCTGGATGCTCTAAATTTGTGACTTGTGCCAAAAGCTCTTTACATGACTCAGAAAAGCTGGGTACATGAGTCAAAAGCTGTTTTCATGAATGCTATTTCAGTGTCTATTGGCCAATCTAAAAGTGTTTTGTCATTTTTCTTACAATTTTCGAACATACCATTTTAAGGAAGTTGAACATCAGCCAGCATGATTTAAACATATCCTAGAGAAATTAGAATTCCCAAACAAGCAATTTGGCCAGCGTGACAGAAGACAAAAGGTTCGGTGCACACAACTGAAAGTTAAATTTTGATCCACCGTGCAGAAAGACACTGAAGTTGATTCACCAACTGATTTAATCATGGAGTACGGATTATAAAGAAGGAGGTGAAACTGCATAGTAGACAAACGGGTCCAAAAATGTCGCAATCACTATATGGCGCTATAGTTTTGTTTTAGCTATTTCAAATGTAAGCATTTATATGCCTTGTGAGGAAGCCAAGCTTCGCAGTGGAAGAGGAAGCTTTACGTTTTTATGCGTTGGATTATAACTATATGTACAAAATTTCCGCCCAACAGGTATAGTGGTTAGCGTTGCTGACTGCCGTGGCGAAAGGTCCGGGTTCGAATCGAGGAGAAGGCATGGATGTTTGTAAATGTTTAATAAAAAGTTGTAAAAACGTTTGTTGTTAATTTCAGTATTAATCCTCACGGATTTGGAGGAAACGACGTTCGCCAAAGTCCTCATCTTCTTGCTTAAAAAGCAAGATTGATACAGACACAGAACTATTTGTACACATTTTTATGAATGTAGATAATATTCTATTAATTAAAATTCAATTAATATTTAGATTCTTTTCACTAATTATTAGATTAGATTCTTTTCACTATATTTTACTCTGCAAATTATAAAATGTAATTTAGGGCTTTCATGTTCAAAGGATTATATTGCTTTTTATGAATGATTACTTTGCTTTTTATGTATTGCTTTTTATGAATGATTCTTCCAAGGATTCTCAATGAAGTCTCTAGGGCCAGGACAGCTGGAGCTTTTTTTCTTTACAGTGTGGAATGCTATCTGCCAATTACATTTGCAAAACGTCGTAGTGGTTCTAGCATCAGTATATTAATTTGATTCAGGAGAGACTATTTTGTTCATGGCCCTCTCGTACCTCAGATACTATAGCTGTCAGCAGTGCATCTTTGAAGTTTTGATACTAAAGATCTGACAACTCTTATGGAAACATTCCTGAAGTTTTCTCTCGACAGCGCACTACTGTCACTATTTTAAGCTGTCAGCAGTGCATCTTTGAAGTTTTGATACTAAAGATCTGACAACTCTTATGGAAACATTCCTGAAGTTTTCTCTCGACAGCGCACTACTGTCACTATTTTAAGCTGTCAGCAGTGCATCTTTGAAGTTTTGATACTAAAGATCTGGCAACTCTTATGGAAACATTCCTGAAGTTTTCTCTCGACAGCGCACTACTGTCACTATTTTAAGCTGTCAGCAGTGCATCTTTGAAGTTTTGATACTAAAGATCTGACAACTCTTATGGAAACATTCCTGAAGTTTTCTCTCGACAGCGCACTACTGTCACTATTTTAAGCAATGTACAACGCTTCATTTGCGATGATCTTCTGCAAGTTCTTTTCGACCCTTCGTCAGTCATGAGTAGGATACGACTGCTGAAAAGTTGGCCCACATATCAGCAGCCGCAGCTATTTCTGACTCTTTGTGAATGCGTACTGAATGTAAATAAATTAAATATCTACACTCATCTATTCAGGATATTCACCTATTATTACGCGCTACTTATAACCTCTGAAGACGGATACAGAAATTACAAAAATTAGTATGTCCATTGGCGATCAAATTTGTAATTTCAAACCGATATTTCAAGTCTATACCATAAACAAACCAAAAGTGGGAAAAAAAGGGGGTGAATAAGTTCTTCATTAAATATTACTGTTTTCAACTGGAACCTTAATTCTTGAGTTGCTTGAATCCTTTACGTGAGAATTTTCCTGGAATAAATGTATTCACTCTTGATGTACTCGTGTATTCTCGATTTAATTGATGCTCTCCAACTTTTGAATAAAATAGAATCGTGAAACGTAATCACAACTTTCAATTTACAGTGCTTCCAATTTAATCTATGAAGACGCAGAGTATGGAGGGAGAATATACCTTACATTCTTCCCTAGCCTTCCCATATCTTTCCCTTAAAGGGCGACTGGGAAAGAAACAATCTGGTAGTCAAATCGAGGTGCCGACGATTTATTATCCATTTATTTTATTTCAGTCTCCACTTGTGGAGCGATAAGAATTTGCTTTTTTAATTCGGGGAATTAAGAATTAACATAAATAACATCGTCGAATCCCGGACTGAATTCGAACAAAACTATCGAGTGTCTAACTATTATTTTATGAGTTACTGATTAAAACTTTTGGAATAAATTATTTTATCGCCAGAAAACATTTTGACGA